ATAACCCTTTTGCTGATTTTTAAAGTGTTACATAAACAGGACAGGTGAAATGTTATCATGTAAAGCAACCATAAACACATGAAAAGACCTCGCCGTGGTGGAGTACAGGAGTCGACGGCAGAGCGATCGGGGATCGATTTATCATCTACACTAGACACGATAAATCGATCCTTTATAGATCGATCACTACCCGCTGATCCGGCAGGTAGTGTAGATGTACCCTTAGAAGTTTTCAGTACTTAGGTCTTGTCTACACTAGTGGGATAAGTCAACCTAAATTATGCTACTCCAGCTACGTGAATAACGTAAATGGAGTCGATGTAGCTTAGGTCAACTTACGGCGGTGTCTTCACTGCGCTGTGTCGACGGGAGACACTCTCCTGTCAACTTACCTTACTCTTCTCGGAGAGGTGGAGTACTGAAATTGACCGGAGAGCATTCTGCTGTCAATTTAACAGGCCTTCACTAGAGAGGGAAGGGGGCGGGGGCAAAATAGGCAGCTGCCCTGGGGCCTGGCAATTTACAAGGGCCCAGGGCTCCCGGCCGCTGCTACCCTGGCAGCGGCCGGAGCCCCAGGTCCTTTAAATCACCGCCAGAGCCCTGGGCGTTGCAGGCTGGGCAGCGCAGAAGGGCTGGCTGGGGGAGGCTTACCCCCCTCCAGCCCCTTCCCCCCAAGGCCCTGAAAGTACCAGTAAGACTTGTATGTTACTTTCACCCCTAGATAAAAGTTTCCATGGGTATGTTTGATGCAAGAAAATTTTGCAGTAGACAGGAGGTCTTGGTGTTGGATATTCAAAGCAAAAGAGCGAGGACTAGACCATGGGCTTGATGGCAGTGTGCAAGACAAGTGCTTGATTGCAGGTCCTAGTACGAATGGCGTAGCATGCTCAGACCTGGGGAAGCGAGGTTGTCTCACATTATTTCAGCAAAGACCCAGTTGGCAAGTTAAAGAACAGAATTTCTAGGTTCCATGCAGTACCTCTCTCTGTAAATGATGGTGGCTCTGTGCAGAACTTTGAAGGTGTAAAGAGAGGTAAATACTGTGAACAGAAGGTAACCTTCACCCCATCCCTGACAGGGGCATCGGGTCAAAGAAGTGCTCCTCGTAGATAGGAAGATAACTCACCAGGCAGATTTTTTCACCTTCTGTTTTCTTCCCTCACAGTTTATATATGTGAATCAGTCCTTTGCTCCTTCTCCAGACCAGGAAGTCGGGACACTCTATGAGGTGACTTTAGTTTTGAGTGTTGTTCTTTCTTAATATTTGTTTAGTAGAAACTGTCTGTACCCTTGTCTGCCTTTTTAAATTTGCTATATGCCTGCCATGCCCAAAGTGGTGACATCATGAATTTCTGTAACATCATGGATAACATTGCATGAATGTATTAACAGGCGACACTGTTTCATGATGCGTTTGTCCAATAGTAATAGTTTAATTCATGAATGGACTGCTTCATTGGTAATCTAACCCCTTGTTGCTTTTCTTAAAAGAGAACTGGATAAATTCATGGTGGTTAAGTCCATTAATGGCTATTAGCCAGGACAGGTAAGGAATGGTGTCCCTAGCTTCTGTCTGTCAGAGGATGGAGATGGATGACAGGAGAGAGATCACTTGATCATTGCCTGTTAGGTTCACTCCCTCTGGGGCACCTGGCATTGGCCACTGTCGGTAGACAGGATACTGGGCTAGATGGACCTTTGGTCTGACCCGGTACGGCCTTTCTTATGTTCTTATGTTTTCTCTTTCTCCACTCCCTTTTCTTTCCCCTGTAGTGTTTTGGAAGCGATGGCAAACTTGTACTGCATTACTGCAAATCTCAAGCGTGGGGATGAATGGTAAGCAGCCGTTGATGCCCAGGACTGGCCTTCAGAAAGGAAAAGGCCTCTGATAATCTTCAGAAACAATGCCCATGGACATGCTGAAGAGAATTGTATATTACTGCCTATGAATTTATTTTATTCTGTGCATTTATCTACAAAATGATGCAGATGACTTGCATAAAAGAAGAGCTACATAGAATTACGTGGCTGAGTAGCCTTTCTTCCTTGTGTCATTTGTAGTGGGGGGGAAAAAATTGCATGTGCCATCCGTAGAATAGAGCCATCTTTCCTGCTGCAGAGCTCCTTGGTTGCCACATATGAAAGGACATTATTTCATGTCTTGTGAACTGCATAACTCCATTGCTCTGAATACTGTATTGAGGATATAGCTTTCCTTTATTAGGAAGGATACTTATTGCACTTGTGCACGGGGATTCAGTTTACTTCTGACATAATGTTCATCTCTATTATGTGCAGTTTAATCTCTTACCTGTTGTGAAGCCTTTACTTTGAATGTGTAGTGTCTCACTTACGCCTCACTTCAGGCAAGTATTTTATAGGTTTGTCTCATAAGTAACATATATAAACAGTTGCACACAAGGTAAAAGGAGTATTTTCATACTGTATACTCTCTCACACCTTAAGCTATGAGAGTATTTGATACAGCTGCGTTTCCTGAACTTTTTTTTTTAATTTTTCCCTTTAGCAATAGCAGGACACATGTTTCTTACCTTTTTCCTAATTGTTTAATATTTTCACCAAAGCTATAATATACTTGGAAAAATGTCCCTGGCAGCTCTCACCTACCAGCAACAGCAGAAAGAGAGTGACCCAGCTATTGACTCTTTCAGTTTCATGGAAATAAATGTTGGATGTCTAAAGCCTACTGTAAGCATACTTCCACTTATGCTCCTCGTCCCCTGCTTCACCTGCTGTATTGTCACTGTTCCATCAAAAGAAATGGAACACCACTTTGGGATATTTTGATAACTGTCACAAAGTAATCACAGGAAATGGTTCTCCTGAAAAGGACTTCCTATCACCATAACGGGAAGAAGGATACTGAGTCTCCATCCCACCCATGCACTGACATCTACCCTGTGTGGGAAAGGAGACTTGCCAAACAGCTCTGTTTAGGGGATGGGCAAAGGCTTAATCAGGTTCCTCTACCAAATCACTTCTCCTTTTATTAACATGAAGGAAAACTAAAGAATTATCCGCAGTCTGCTAATCTATTAATATGTAATTGTAAATTTAGCTGCTTGCTAATATATGCTACCCAAAAATGTGGCTACAACCTCTGCATGCATAATTTTTGTTCTATTTAGGATGTTTTAATAAACTCGGTATTTCTTTTTTCATGTTGAAAGCTAAATCAAAATTCTTTGATTTCAGCTAACCAAGTTGCAACCATCTCTAATTTATGCAAATGTGTTGAGTATTTAAGTGTCTGTCTGTATTTAGACAATCAGAATTCTGAAGGATTATGAATAGGTGTGTTCTAAATCTGTTCCCAAATGAATTATTTTAGTATTAATTACTATATTTTTAGAAAACTGATACACACAAGTTTATAATTCCTTATTTATGAAATGGCGTCTTCCAATAAATACAAAAACATTCTAAAACAGTTAAATGAGTGCCCCTTTGATTAAAATTCAAAACCAGAAAAATAAATACCTGTTATTCTTTCAGAGCCAACTATTGGGTTGCTCTGAAGCAATTGTAACCTTGAACAGCCACTAGAGGGTACTTGACGATAAAAAGATTTGCACATTTTTCAATAGATTTTGGAAGTGATTTTGTATTCCCATTTTGCCTGCTAAACACATGTGATTAGGTTTCTCTCAAGCTTGTGGCTTCTATGTGGCAATGTGGTTGGCTAAGAGATAAACCACAACCCTGGCTCTCTCTAATTAGTTTTAGACTGAGACTGTTCATCTCAGTTGTCTTAATTAATCAAACTACTGGTGTGGTGCATATGGACATGTGGAATGATGCGAGAAGCAGAAAAGGAAAGAATAGAAATGAGAGGCGGAAGAGATATAAGTCATCTTATCCATCCACCTACCACTGCAGGATTGTTCGTCTTGCTGCATTATCAGTTTTATCCTTTTGAGTTTTAAATGAAGCAAGGGATGGGGCTTCTCTTGCTTCCTCGGGGGCTATTTTACAGTGGTAATAGATCTCATTGTTAGGTGTCTGTTTCCTTGCATTCAACATATGTATTAATTTGCTCAGTTTTGTCCTATTTCAAACTTAGAATCATAGGGTTAAAAGGGACTGTGAGGATCATCTAGTCTACCTCCTGCCAAGATGCAGTAGGGGGTAGATCTCATTTATTTAGATAAAATGTGCTTTTCCTCAGGACTTGGCAGGTCCATTCGACCACACTAAATCATTCCTGTTTGTCCTTGCATTTGCACTTTTTATAGACTTAGACAGTTGTTCTTTTCCTCCCCCACTTGTTAGCTAAAAAATATGTTTAGTTTTTTGTCTCTTAACTGGTGGGGTCTAGGGTGATTCCCTTATTCGCTCTGGTTCCTCTCCTATGAATTCATTCTTATTCTGTCTTTCTGGCACTGAGAGGTAGTGCTAGTCTTTTAATCTCCTTTCAGTACAGCTCTTCACATGTACCAGCATTTTGCTTCAAGGGTACAGCCGGGAGGCTTCTTGGTGGTCCTCTTTTCAGCTGCTTCTAGCAGTGATCAAGTGGCCAGCTCTCCATTGACCACAATAAAGCACTCTGAAGATTACCAGTGATCCGTATGCCATCATTCAAGATAGCAACTCCTCCCTAAAAGGGGAAATTCTTTATCTGAGACTGTCTGAAATTATGGATTATTGTATAAACTTCCTAAAGGTGAGTCACATAGCTTATTAAGGTGAGTGACTAAATGGCTAGCAGGTAGAAGAATTTGAGTCAGAAGTGTGTGGTCTGTGGAATCTGGCAAGGAATGAAACCCCACAGTAAATATAGCTTTGACTAAACCAATTTAAATATAATGTGTAATATCTCAATTTGCAGATGAGCCTAAAAGGAAGGACGTGGTTAAGAAACACGGGAGGTAACTATATGGCAGGATAATTTTGATAGATCAGGCATCTAGTCAAGAGGTGAAATATGAATTGTAAAATAATATCTCAGCTATGTATAGTTTAAATGACACTGAGTTAATTAATGCAGTATAACTGAAGAAATACATAACTAAATTGGAGGGAGTACAGTCTAGGGCAACAGATGGTAAAGGAAATAAGAATAGTGATAAAGTTTCTTTATCATGAAATGTGATGAGTGAGAGGTGACAAACTGAAATATTTTTAAACTAGATAGGGTTTATTATAAAATTAAACCATGAAGGTTGATGACTGGGACCATTGACATCCCACTAGGATGGGGTGGCAGACTTAATCTGTGGGGAATTAAGGGAAATCTTACACATCATGGCCCAGTCCTAAAGCTCTTAATCACATGGAGCTTGATTATGCACCTTTTCTTGCTATGGGTAATCTCCACCTCTGAGTGTTCACCAGTGTGGGTAAATAAAACGTTAGAATCCATTTGGGTTGTAGGATGAGTGAAAAAAAGATAAACTGTAATAGAAGTAAGAGAAAATATGCATATTTTCATTTTTCTTATTTAAATACATTTCATAAACTATATTAACTAGAACTGTATCTGTGGTGATATAGCCTCTCAAAATCCAAGTTCATTTAATGCATGGAAGGAAAATACAATAGTCATGTGACTGCCTGAGCAATTTATGGGCGTCATGGCATTACTGTGCAGTTTCATGTATCTGGACCAAGAAGTACCAAATTGTATGCTGAAATTACTTCTATTCTCAAATTTTGGCTAAAAATATCAGAAAAACTGACAAAATAATTTGGAAACTGATATGAATTTAATATTTAATGTGTTAACCTACACATTTTTAAATCTACAGAACTAGATAGCCTTCATTCAAGAGTTTAAAAAAAATTGGCTGAAGAACTGTTGAGTAATGTTAATTCTTGACAAATCTTGGAACATTGGGGAAGTTTTAGAGACTGGGAAAAAGCTAATGTCGTGCCAAACTTTTAAAAAAAAAGGACTACATAGTAACTATGGGCCAGTTATCTTGACATCGATCCAAGGCAAAAACATGGAAAGGCTGATATGGGATGCAATCAGTTAAAAAAGAAAGAAAGAAAGAATGGTAGTATAATTGATGCAATCAAGATGGTTTTATGTCAAGTACGTCTTGTCAAACTATTTTTTATGACATTAAAAGCTGAATTGATAGAGGTAACTATTGATATAGTAACTATACCTACATGTTATACATAGATGCGTGTAAGTCAAATGACTCTCTCATGTATATTCTGATATTAATAAATACCACTATACCTAATCCATAAATCTATTAATGAATTAAAAACTTAATATCTGATAAATATTAAAAAGTAATTGTAAATAGGGAGGTGTCTAAGGGGGTGTTTCTAGCGGGGTACATCCAGGAATTTGTTCTTGGTCTAAGCTATTTAATATTTCTATCAGTGATCAGCAAGAACATATAAAATCATTGCTGGTAAAATTTTCAAGTGACACAAAGTGATAAATAATGACAGCTCAATTCTACAGAACAGTCTGGTTTGTTTGGTAAACTGGGTTCACTTGAACCTTGAACAACATGGTGTTTTTGTTTGCTGTTTTTTACACAGCTAAAGGGGAGCCAAAGGTATATAAGGTCATACATACCATTATGAACAAAGAATGCAGGTCTCACTTATAGGATGGGGAATTGTATTTTGGAAAGCAGTAATTCAGAAAAAATACTTGGGGCCACAGTAAATAATCAACTGAGCATAATCTGTTAATGTGATGTGGTGGCTAATAGCTAGTGCGATCCTTGGATGTGTAAGCAGAGGAATATAGAGTAGAAGTAAGGAAAAGGTGGTATTACCACTGTGTGTAGCATTAGTGAAACAGTTACTGGAATAATGTTTTCAGCTCTGGTGTTAACACTTTAAAAATACAAATTGGACAGAGTTCAGAAAAGAGCTCTATGTGAATGGTCTGGAAAACTTGCCTCACGGTGAGAAGAAATTCTATTTAGTTTATTCAAGAGAAGGCTAAGTGGTGACTTCATTGTGGTCTATAGGGAAACGGTTCTGATATAAGGCTTTTCAATCCAGGCTACTATCTGGCAAAAGTATAACCAGATCCAATGGCTACAAGTTGAAACTAGACAAACTCAGACTAAAAATAAGGTGTAAAGTTTTAGCCAAGAGGGTAATTAGTCATTGGAACAACTTATCTAGGAATGAGGTGGATTCTCCATCACTTGAAGTTTTTGAGTCAAGACTGAATGTCTTTCTAAGATGCTCCAGCTCAATTAGGAGTTATGGGCTTGATGTAGAATTATAGGGTGAATTACAGAATGAAATGTATGAAGCAGGAAGTCAGACAAAATGATCATAATAGTTCCTTCTGATCTTAGAATCTATGAAAAGTTTTAAAAAGTGTGACAAGTGTCAAATCAAATTTGACTTTCACTGTTTCCTAGTCAACTTGTTTGTTGCTTTAAACTGTAGTTCTGACTATGGAAGTTCACTTGGTATACAGCATCAGGATAATATAATCTGATCTTGCCTTGCTGTGACAGTCTCTGTACCATTTTTCCCCCTTGTCACTTCTTACGGGAATAGTATTTGATAGTGCAGTATTTCAGCTATATCTGCACAGATGGTAATGTTGATGTAAATGTCTAAACTACTTCATTTGGTTTAGTATATTCTGAATGTGTTATTAAAGGTGTAAAGTATTTTTATATTTCCTCTCATTATTTCCAAATTAACAGAAATGCTACATTTCACTCTGTGCCTAGCAACTGCTTCCTCCCTATGCAGACTCCAGGGACCTAACTTGTTCCTTACAACTCCTAAATAATTTCAGTTTCCAGCTAATGAAGTCTAGATCCTCTTTGTCAGCTTGTTGATGCTACTGGAATTCCAATCATCTGATGATTGCCCCTTACAGCCTCTCACATCTTAAAAAGAAGCAGTGATAAAAGCAGTACCTACCCACCCTCTGACTAAGTGAAGGAGTAATTTCCTGTCAACCTTTTAAATCTCCCTGAACAGCCCTATACATCCTCTACCAGCTCCTGTATCCTAAGAAAATCAGTATGGCCACCTGCCTTTTATCCAAAAGCCACCTGCCTTTTATCAAAATATATGAATGAATATTCCATAAGTATTTTCTTATATAAGAAATTAAGTTGTACTATTTAGTTTTTTAAATTAAATATAAACTAATTTAAATGAATAGCAAACAAGGTAATCAGAGGTACTGAATGAAACTGGAATTGCCTCAATTACAACCTTCTTAAC